CGATGTCTTGCCCTGCGGCTCAAATCCGCTGGCACTAACCTATCTAAGATTTCTCCAAAGACAAGAATTTGCTACTTTAGGTGGCTTTTTTAGCATACATAGGACAGCAGCAAATTTATGGCAGGTTGCCCTTCTTTCCTGACCAGAAAGCACTCTCAAAAAATAAGTGGAGAAGACAAAGAAATCCTCTTGACATGCAGGGCTGAACTAGAACTCTTGCTGAAGACATTTGAAACTTCAAGATTGACAAAAGCGACTTTTCCAGATGTGGAGGAAAGGTCATTACCTCTGCAAACTGTCCCTACTGCTTGTGTCCTTTTAATACTTTATACTCATGAATTGGCAGAAGGAAGGCCAGGAAATAGAGAAGATAAGAAGAGACTGGATCTTAAATACATTGATCTTCTCATACAGTGCCATTATGCAATGTGTAAAGCTTGTGAATTGAAAAAGGAAGTTGGTGCAGATGAAGTGAGTTCAAGAAACAAGATTTGGAGCAGAAAATCTTATTCTTTAAATAAGAATGAGGACGAGACAGATCTAGAGGAACTGGAGTACCTGGCAGAGTTGAATCATAAATTGTTCACTTTTGTATCAAATGCACCATCAGAGATTCTGTCTAAGTTACCGAAGGACACATTGTTGAAATGTGAGCCAGATCAAAGCCGCGATATCATATAAATTGAAAAGTAAATAGACAGTACTTTTGTACAAGAGAATTAAAGAATATATTTATTTTCCTAACTAAAAATGTACTTATGATTCAATCCACCCTTCACTACCCTTTACAGTACCTTCCTATAGTGCTACATGATCTTGGATGTCTAGCACATTTATTTAGCTTTTTACCATTATCCATTAACCATAATGATAATAAGAATAGTGATGATAATTATAATGATAATAGTAAGGATAATAATGATGGTATTGATAAATAGTAATAGATAAATAAGAACAAAAATAATGATAACGAATGTAAGAACGATATGACAATAATAATGCTTTTGTTACTAATAAGAAAAGGATAATGTTGATTATAACGATGATAGTAACAATAAGAAAGAGGATTTATCATAATAACAACAATTATGAAAAATAATAAAAGAAAATATAACAAAGATTTTACAATATATAATTGTGCTCTAACCATAATAATATGAGTAATCAAATCAACATTAATACAGATTATGCATATGTGATTGAAAACAATAATCTCTCTCTCTCTTCTCCCCCTCTCCTCTCTTCAATCTCCTCTCTCTCTCTCTCAATGCAAGTATAATTCACGGATTCTCTCGCCTGTATCCTCATCGGCGCACAAACCTTCATCCCGAAGAGCATTTCTGATTAACTGTAAACTGTTTTTCTTCTTCTTCATGATGTGGAATAGGCATGATGATAATAATGCGAGCAACGTCCAGGTGAAATAAGAAGTCAATTATAAAAGAAATAGTAGTAGAAATGCTAAAGATGATAATAATGATGATATTTGATGGTGAGGAAGAGAATAACAAGAATAAACCCTCGTTGATAAAAAACGGGGATAGAGATAATAAAAATAGCAATATTATTGCACTATTTTGATATATATGATAAAGATAGATAAATTATTATGTTGACAATGAAAGTGAAAATTAGATAACAATTGTAGCGATGGACTTGGTTATACTGATAATGACAATTGTGATGCTATATAAAGAACGTAATGGTAATGGTGATGATAATCGATGGCTTGATAATAATAAAACGGTAACGATGATAATGACAGCAATCACCTAAATACTGAAAATATAGATGATATTGGCCTTAGTTGTGTAGATTTTAAAGTAATGATAACGATAACTAAGATAATAAAAGTTCAAGAATTACAATACATCGGCCACATAAAGAATCAGGAAGAAGAAAAGAAACGGAGGCAATAGGAAAATGGGAAGAAGAGAATCAGGAAAAGGGAAGCACATTGAAATCCGCCGAAGAGAGATAGATGCATAGACATTAGAAGTAAGACTCTAAAAAAAGGGTGAATATTGGCAATAATATGAGATTGGATAGACGTTGAGACAGATAGAAAGACAGAAGGAAAGACAGATATAACTCTATAAAGAATATCAATAAAGTCATAGCTTTAAGAAACAAATGTAAGTAATGTAAATTTGTGCAGATTACTGAATATTTTTTTCTTTCGTACCTTTAAAAATGTGTGTATATATATGTATATATGTATATATATATATATATATATATATATATATATATATATATATATATATATATATATATATATATATATGTATATATATATATATATATATATATATATATATATATATATATATATATATATATATATATATATATTATATATATATATATATATATATATATATATATATATATATATATATATATATATATATATATATATATATATATATATATATATATATATATATATATTATATATATATATATATATATATATATATATATATATATATATATATATATATATATATATATATATATATATATATATATATATATATATATATATATATATATATATATATATATATATATATATATATATATATATATATATATATATATATATATATATATATATATATATATATATATATATATATATATATATATATATATATATATTATATATATATATATATATATATATATATATATATATATATATATATATATATATATATATATATATATATATATATATATATATATATATAATATATATATATATATATATATATATATATATATATATATATATATATATATATATATATATATATATATCGTAGGTTTAAGGAGGGGGCCAAGTGTTAAAATTTTAGAACCCATTATATTTAAACAAAAACGTTCATAATAACACGGATAATAATGATAATACCAACAACAGTTATAATGACAACAGTGATAGCGTGGTTAAGGACTCGACATTACCTGCTTCCATCTTGCTACATCAAGACTTTGCAATACAAAGCAATGATAATTCCCGGACTCTCTCGGCCGCCTCTTCGGCGCAGACCTTCCCGGAGAGCACTTGACGCCGCCTTTGCTGTTCTTTTCTTGGTTTCTCAAATATTTAGATTTTTTATTCACAAGACGCGTGTCTTGTTTTATTATTGTTGTTGCTAGCGCTATCATTAGTAGTAATAGTAGTAGCATTAAGCTCGCGCACTTCTTTCATTTTTGATAGCCGTTGGCGTTTCGATCTCCTGTGCCGCCTATGGGATGCCAGCTGCCCTGCGTTCGGCCTCCTGCACTCCTCAGCGCGGTTCCAGCTTCAATGATGTTCACTGTTTTAGTACAATAGTTTCCAACCTTTTTATACTCGCGGTCTCTTCTTCCTACATAAATTATGACAACAATTACTTCAATATTACCGTTATTATTATTTTGTATTGTCATTATTTCTATTTTCATAATTATTATCATTATAATCATTAACATTGTTATTACTATTATTATCATCATTATTGCCACTTATTATTATCATTATTATTGCCTTGTCTACATATGA